GGTGCAGAAGGGGCGGCCGCGGAAGCGCAAGAGCCCGGGCCCCGGGGCGGACCTGGCGGCGTACAACGCTGGTGAGTGCGAGGCGCACCGAGCGTCCCCGTCGGGCTGGGGGACAGTGCGCGGCGTCCACCCCCCTCCACCGCACCCCCTACTTCCCGGGAGTGGGAGTGAGTCTCGGCGTGCTATCCGCTCATACTTACACGGCACTCGGGGCACTCTACCCCTCTACCCCCTAACTTCCCTAGGCCCATGGCACCGCACTGTCAGGCTGGAGGAACCTTAGCCTCCTGGGCTCCAGCGCCTATGCTCTTGGCCAGAGCAGGACCAGAGGGCTCTTTAGTGTCTTGCTGTCCCTGGTACAGGGCCATGTCCCTGAGAACTATCTTAGAGGCGGCTTTTTGGTTTGGGCCTTCCCCTCACTTTGCTGGGCAGAAAGTAAGTACAATGATAGAGAAAAGCAAGGTGGGGCCCACCCCAAACGGGCGTGGGTCTGCCCGGCTGAGGGCGGGAGCTGGGGCGATGAATGCGCCAGGCAGGGCAGCAAGGGACCCAAGAGAGGGGACTGGCAGTGGTCGGGGGCATCGGGATCGTTTGGCGTGCAGCTGGTCCTGCTCCCGAAGGCAGCAGGCGCGGGAAACTTGGGCCCAAGGGCCCTTTGAGCAAGGGCGGGTCATTGTAATCCTCCCATCCCTCTGCTCTGCCAGGTCTCGGTTTTCCCCGGGCTCCTTCCTCCGAGTTCCCGGCGCCAGCGGGGCGCTGGGATATGAGCCTAGACCCTCAGAAGCCGGCGCCGGGGGATGAGACCGGAGCAGGCCTGGTGCTGCGCTGGGGTAGGGTGGAGAGCTTGTTTCGCATTTCCGGCGTCTTTGAACCCCGCGCCATTAGGGAAGGGCTCGGCCCCCCTCCCGCGCCCTTCCCGGCTCGGGACAGCTGCGGAGGTTCTGGGGCCCGGCGCGCTGAACCGTCCACATCTGCCCGAAGTCTGCGCAGCCGGGGAAGGTTTATGACTCCCCGGGCTTCTGAACTAGATAGAGTTTATCTGCAGTTATTTTCTTTCGTTTGCGACAGAATGAGATTCGGGAATTCTGCTGTCTCCCTCCTTTTCCCCGTTAGCCTAATGCGCGAGTGGAAACAAAACAGCAGAACAAACCCGGGACCCTGCGTAGGGCGCAGTGGTGGGGAGGAAGCCGGGGTTATTTTGATCTTTAAAAATCCGAGCTGCCCGGGGAGAAAAGTACGGGGCGGTGGGGTTCCTCTGTTCGCCCCAACGAAATTGCTTGTTGGAGGGTCGTGGGGCGTGCGTGTCGCAGGGTGCGGAGCTGGAGGAAGGTGCAGCCCCCCAATCTGGTAGATGGCGAAGTGGCCACCGGAGGTCCGCACCGGCGAATTATAGATTTGTTGAAGGCACTCCCAGAGATACTGCTCTCCAAAACTTCCATCCCTCACCTCCAACCACCCGGAAAATAGGCTAAACCGAGTCCAGGTCAGGTCCCCCAAACAAAGCCGCGCCTATTTATCAAGTGGGGTCGGCCTCTGTAGGAGGCAGCCAGCCCCGGGCCACAGGGCGCAGGGAGGGCGGGGAGCCGGATTGTGTTTTCCCCGGCCCTCAGGTTCGTAACCGGTGTTGAATTTGAAAGGTAGAAGGTTTCGAGATTTTATTTGTGCTTTTTGGCTGTTCAGACACCTTCCCTGGTGAGGCCCCGCCACACCAAGCAAGGAGATACGGCTGGAGGCTGAGTTTCAGGGAACTGGCGCCTCTACAAGATGCTCCCCACCCCTGCCATTTCTTTCTCTTTGGCCCCGCTCCCTTTTTTCCTCTGGCCCTCTCGGCTCCCCTTCCTCTCCGTCGCCGTCCCTCTCCGCGTGCGTCTCCCTGTTCCTCTGCGCCCCTCTTCTCTCTCCCGGGTGCACGTCTCTGGCCTAGCTTGGCCCCGGCTTCCTGTACGGGTAGAAAGCCCGCGCGCGAGCGCATCTCCCGGGGCCGTGTGGCTCACTTATTCGGGGCTCCCGGGACCAGGTTGGGAAAGAGGGCGCCCCGGGGCCGCACCGCCCGGCCAGGCCTGCCCAGGTTTGGCTGTTGTCCTCCCTCCCCTCTGGGCGAAGGCAGGAGGCAAATGGCAATAGAGTGGGCCGTGGGGAGGCAGGGACTGGAAAGGGGGACCGTGGAGGGTGCGACTGCGGGCGGCGCGTACTGGGCTAGCGTCTGCGTGTGTTTTCGACCTTGAGGACACGAGCTTGTTTGTGCGAGTGCCCCGCACCCAGGGGCCCAGCCATGCCGACCCCCTGCAGAGCCCATCGCTCTGGGGGACAGCGAGGTGGCCGAGCGGCCGCGGCGCGGGGAGCTCGCGCGGAGTGGGGCGAGGGCGCC